TAAAATAAAAAAATTACGAGGACAAGTTGGGTCGCGTACTCAAACCTTGGGAAAAGACACTGAAATGGGCTTTAATATCATCGCTAACCCCCCGTCCGACCAACGCCGAACGCGGGTATACGGGGGAGGGTATCCTAACCTCGGGCGAGGCCATTGAGGTACATTTTCTAGTGCTACCACCCACACCAACTAGAAAAAAGGTTAACGGAATACGAAAGTTGGGCGATTGCGTAAATTACCCTACTTAAAATTTGTAAGTAAGCGATTATTCCTGTGGGTAAGTTTAAAGGCCAACCTTGCTTAGTTTACTGATTTAAGCGGTTATGGTATGTGGTGACCTTCGGAGGACCACTCTGCAGTTCAATGCCATCATCAAACTTCTGATGGTGTGTAGAAAACGGGAAGATTATGGGTAATTCAACCTACTTAAAACATTTGAGTAGGTGGCTATAATACATAAAAACCTTTCGAACACCCCACAAGGAAACCCTACCGGCGAACTTTCGCCAACTTTCACGGAATGTAATAGACCTGCAAACCCGCCTACACAAGCCCATTCATATGACCCTTCACAGTAGGGTGGTTTTTTTCACATGATAACCAACTCTTGCTCGAATTTGGACTGATTGTCACACAGTTTTATGAGGGTTCGGTATTCTTGCAAAGGTCTGATTTGAGCACTACCGCCTGCAATAGAGCGACCGTGTGATATTAGCGTCTGCAAACTGCACGGGGAATAGGTGGCCTAGGTGTACTACAACTGAGGGAATAGTGGTAAAAATGCGATTCGCAAATAGTAGGTCATAAGAAAGGAGAGCGAGGGTGGTCTAAGTCTGACGTTTCCTCTACCCTCACACAGCGGCTCAATCGGGATTGGCAAAATACGCAGACGGAAAAAGAGCGGCATAAAATGAGAACCATGAGCCTACAGTAAAGCTGTCTCAGTGAACGCCCTTCTTACAAATAGGGGATTTACGTCTCCACTATCATGTTTTCATTAATATTTTTTGAGACCCACATTGCTTAAGGGGCTGGGTGACAAGATACACTCGTCAAGGAGTCGAACTTATGCCTGGGTTTTACTATCCAACAAGGAGTTTGATGTCTAATTGGATCAGTTGCAGCTGGGAAGCCCAAGAACCAGCCGCTATAAAGAAGTGCTACAATTACTAAGAGTTAGTTTTGCAGGAAACTCAGCAATTTCGATTTAAAAAAATGTTTCAAGACTAAACTTGTACACTGATTAAGGCAGAGAGACAATTTTCAGTGTTTAATGTGGCAGCCGAACGAGATGCTTTTATTGGCGATTTCACAAAGTGCCAAACCACCCGTTTTGATTGAAATGAGCTTAATAAAGATTACATCTCTCTTCTGGTGGAGTTGAAATCCAAAACCTATCCATCGACATGTAATGCGTCCTTTGTCACAGGACCGTACTCCTAAGCTTGATTGACCCCCTTTTTTGAAGACGTCAGCGCAGTAACCGCAGCCGTTGGCATTTTGGGAACAACGTTTGTCGAATGAAGTATATCCGAAACCGGGAAATTCCACGACTTTCTTGTTTCCCGACTTAGTCGCCTCAGGCTTATTCCCGCAATATCTGAGGATGCGAATTCGCACGAAAAGTCAACAATATTTCAGGTCCTGAAAGTAACTGGAAAGAGTGTGCGGGAATTCGCTAGAAGGCATAATTTGAAAAACCTGCTGATAACGCTCGTCTCCAAAAGGAAAGGCCCACCCAAAATACATATTTAATTTGAACTTTATAACGAGCGCCCCAAAGGGACTACACAAATCTTGATTGTAATTGCAGACTGTAATGATAGCGTGAAGCCGACGGCAACGTGAACATCTTTGCACCATGGGCACTAGAGTAGAGTCCAAACACACTTGCGTATTTTCTGTGTTCGTATGGCACAACAAAGCCACTCGACGTACCGTTTCTAGAAGTACCCAGTGTTTAAATTCTATTTTTTTAAGTTCGCCGGAATGCGAGTAGATTTCGGGCCAAACCCAGAAGGTTATGACTCAGATTCTTCTCCTAGTTACTACAATAATTTCGGACAAAATGGGGAATTTACGTTCTATAAAGTAATGATAGATTCCGTGCCCATTAAATGGTAAGACTGTCTTTGGAGGTCCTATTTGCCGTTGGCTTATAGTAATAAACTACTTATATATTTTTAGTAGCCCGACTTTCCTTCTGGTTAAATTTCGCCAATATGAGGTCAGATTTTCATCAATAGGCATCAGTTGCCTGAGCAACAGAATTGATGTTGATGGAGTTGATTATATTTAGCTCATTTAAACAATTACAAATGGTTTTTATTTAATGTTATTCGATCACTTCTAACGCAACACTTGTCAACCAAGAATTAAATGTTTGACCACCAATTTCGTGAGACAGTTGACCGGGGGAATGTATGTTTAGGCAGCCCTACAAAACAATGTTGCCCATTAAATCTACTATACAGTCATTCAATTTAACACTGTAGGCACCGTGGTTCCGCCTTTCGTACGGACCTGTTTCGTTTCTTTTTTTTGGATTCCATTGCCCCTGCCTGACTTGAATACGCCTCAGCCTCTAGGAAAGTTTTGCACATACTCATCAGTCGGGGAAAAAATTTTCTACTTCTGACAAATATAACCTTTCATAGTACAACTTCCATGCATTTCCTGCATGTTCACTTAACATTTTTGCATTGATGATAAACTAATCCACCATTCACTGCATCCCACCCCAAGGCCGTGGTGCGTGTTCTTAATGGAACAACCAAAGTCAAGGTGGACCAGTCACACGTTCAAACTGTCATCCCACCACTCGGCGACTACGTCCTCGTTGTCAATGGCGCCTACCGCAGTGAAGTGGCTATCGTGAAGAGTATCGACAAGGACCGAAACGTCGTCGACATTTGCATAGACTCTGTAAGTTAGAGTGCTTATTTAGTCTCTTGGCAAGGGTTTCTTAAACTTTTTGTTGTATCGCCAGTACCCACCGCCAAAGGTGTGCGACAATATCTCGAGCCAGGAGAGCGTGAGCTCGGTCGCTAAATCACACTGCATACTGCGGAAGCAGCATTAAAAAACAGACCGCAAACTTTTAAGCAGAGCAAAATACTCGATTCTCCCCGGGTGTGGAGAAGCAGGTTTTACTTTTTGCAAAATGATTATAAGCAGAAGCTTTGAGAACCCTTTGTAGTAAATATGGCTCTGTAACTCCACCTTTGTGTGGTGATTTCGTGGTGAGATTTTCGAACGCCATTATCTCATCCCCCTACACATCTGAACGTCGGTGAGAGTACCTATTGAGGCCGCAGAAGGGTGCTTGTGTATTATAACCACCTATAAATAGGTGGAATTTTCCACAAACTTCCATTTTTCTGCACGTCGGCCGTCGATCCAAGAGGGATCGCATGATGACATTGAGCTGCAGAGGGGTCTTCGGAAGGCCACTCTGTACAATAACCGCTTAAGTCAGCATATTAAGTTAAAAGGGCTTGTCACATTAACCACGGGAATAACCGCCTACTTCTAAATTTTAAGTAGGATGAATGTACACAATTTTCCAAACTCCTTCGCCT